CACTGGCGGGGAAACTGCCTTCTCGCACTCATTGCACTACCTCGCTCCTCCCTGGGAATTGGCACCTGTGGGGTGAAGATTCTGAGCCCTTGAATCCCAGAATAGAGAGAAAGCCTGTGTGGCCATCCTCACAGGGCCCAGAGGCAGCCTCCCTGCATCCTCACTCCCAGACGCTGGCAACCCCAGACCTTCCCGCCGGGTGCCAGCCCACAGCAGAAGGCGCCTCTTCCTGGGGGCCTCCCAGAGGCCTGGCTGGGCACAGGGAGGTGATGCCAGGATGCACAGGAGACAGTGGAAGAGGCTGAGGGAGGGAGGCAGCTTCCAGGCTTCCTCTCCTGCTGGGTCAGGCAGTTTGGAGAAGGGGGGCTGACCCCAGGAAGGCCCAGCAAGGGGCCTGGCTGCCGGCTGCTGCCCAGCACTAATTAGCTGAATGAAGGAAAGAGAGAAATGAGTGACGCAATGCAGAGACCACCTAAGGGATGGGCTGGGGGAACATCATACAGAGGCAGGAATCAGATTTCTAAGCTTGTGCAGGCTCTGTGTGTGTGTGTGTGTGTGAGAGAGAGAGAGAGAGAGAGAGAGAGAGAGAACCAGAGGTTAAATCAGAACTACATCACTGAGCAACTCCTTGTCGTCAATTTTATTTTGAAAGTAATAGCTATACGGAAGGGTTTGTCCAGGAAAGGGTCACATTCCAGTTTCTGAAAGTAGACTCGGGACTGGAGGGCTAGTTAGGGGTTGAGATGCTTGCCTCGCATATGGCCAACCCTGGTTCTATCCCCGGCACCACATGGTCCCTGGAGCATCAGTGGGAGCAGCCCTGAAGGCCAGAGCACTGCCAGAGAGGTCCGGGGCTGAGGTGGGAGGATCTCCAGCACTGTGGGGCTTGAGTACCACATCCTTGGGCTCTGAGCACCTCTTTGGGCACAACCTGACCCAAAGAAAGACAACCAAGGCAACAGGAAAAGGATTTAAGGAGTTGGAATTGGAGAAAGGAACTGGTGAAGAATTCGCTTATTTATTTATTCGACAAAGCTTTATTGAGAGCTCTGGCACTGATGCAATCTAGGACCTCAAGGAACGTCTAGAATTTGGCCACATAATGGATTCTTAGCTGGGGTTTACCTCTAAGGGGAGGAGAGGGTATGTGGAACGTTTATGCTGAAAAGTACAAAGGAAAGGTGGGAAGCAGGTGGGAAGCAGGAGGGATGGAGGGAAAGGGGACTAGTTTGGTAAGGTGGTCAGGGAAATGTACCTGAGATGTGGCATCTAGGTGACATCGAGGGAAGGGAAGGAGGAAGTGCTGTCACATAGGGGACACTACAGTGCCCTGGGGGGGGGGGGTTGAGTGGGCATGCCATCCTTCAGACTGGGATCCTTGAGGGCTTTCATGTCTCCCATTGGGGCATGCACACTGAGGTGCCATCAGAACACCCTGGACAGTGACCAGGAATCAGCAGTGATTTGGGTGGAGAGAGGGATTGGAGAAGACGGAGCTCGGGGAACTGGTGCCCTGGAGAGATTAAGACTAGAGGGACTGGAGCGATAGCACAACGGGTAGGGCATTTGCCTTGAACGTGGCTGACCCGCGTTCGATTCCCAGCATCCTATATGGTCCCCTGAGCACCGCCAGGGGTAATTCCTGAATGCATGAGCCAGGAGTAACCCCTGTGCATCGCCGGGTGTGACAAAAAAAATAAAAAGACGAGTCAGGGGACTGTGGGGCCACTGAGGCAGGAAAGACTGTGGGACACAACTTGCAGGGCTGGGGTGTAGGGACAGAGAGATGGGGATCCTCACAGTTTCTATGACTCATGCCTCACATCCCCTCTGCCTGGGCCTACAAGCCTCACCTCCCCTGTGAAGTCAGTGAGGGGTGAGGGCTAGGATGTTGCCACATGGCACCCAGTGGTCTGCTGGACCCCCCGCTGGACTCCCTTTGCGTCCATCCTGGTCTCAGTTCACCTGTCCCTGAGTGCTTCCCTCCTGCACCTGTGGTCGAGGGGAGCCCCTGCCTGAGCGTGTGCAGACCCACTTTCCCAGGTGTTTGTGCTGGAGGCCTCTCGGCAGGACCTTCCGCTGGGGTCCTTTCAGATGGCTTCGGCGGTGTGTGCTGGTGTGGTGGCAATAGCCTCTACTTGCCACATTTGCCAGCTTCCATGGGGTGACATCCCCCACCCTGATGGCTGAGTTAAACTTCAGCGTGAAATAGCCTGAGTGGCCAAATTAATGAAAATCTAACCATCAGCTCTCACAAGTTGGTACAAGCTGGCTCCAGCATCTCTGCCAGATCCTTGCAGAGAGAGAGAGGAAGGGGGATGCCTGGGATGGGGTTTGGGAGTGGGGGGGTGTCTAAACGTAGACCCCCAGGCATCCCAGCCTCCCTGCCTCTCAGTATCAGGACCCAGACCCAGAGGAAAGCCAAGCGCCTCTTATCCCCAAAGTTCCTCCGACTTTAGCCCTTTAATACCCCTCCTAGGCTCTCTGTCTACCACGTTTCCTACTCAGGCGGACGGGTTCCCGTGCTCACCTGCTTCTCCTGCCCCCAAAGAGCACCTGTATTTGCACCCAGAGGCCACACTGCCAAGGGCCCTGCCCTCCCAGCCCGCAGGTACACCCCAGCCATTCTCAACAGGCCACCTGGACATCTGACCCAGCTCTGCCATCAGCGGCCCAACTTGGCCTCAGTTTCCCTGTCTGTAAGCCAGGGCTGACCTCTCCGAAGGCCCCTTGCAAAGTGAGATTTACAGCTTCCCTTGCCTTGACTCTGGCCCACAAGGAGGCTCGGGGCCGCCTCTCTCAAACACATTTCCCCAGTCTCCTAGACCCTCCCTGCTCCAGGGGGCCCCCCACCGCCTCTGGCTCCCCAAGCTCCCCAGTAAGGGGCCCAACTAATTACATTTGGATTTTATGCCAATTAGCAAACAATTACACGGGCAAATTGGTGCTTAATTCGGAGCAATAACGGTAGCACCAGTGGCCAGCGAGCACTTACCACAGTCGAGGCTGCTCACCCAGGCCGGCCCTCCCGGAGCCCTGGAGGACGCACCGCAGTCTTGGGCCTGACCTGGGCGGAAGTGGTGCCACTCCACGAAGGATCTCTGAGTGGCTGTTTCTGCAGCTGACACGGTTTGCCCGGGCTCTGTTAAGGGAGGGCTGTCGGAAGTGGGGCCAGCGAGGTGCTGAGGCCAGGAGGGCTGGCCTCCTTGAGGAGGTGGGAGGAATGGGGGGAAGCAGGGGAGGGAATCATGGGGGGGGGGCAGTAATGCATGTGAACAAAGGCTTAGAGGTGGGAATGGGTGATGTGAGCTCAGGATTAATGGAGAAGCCCGCCGGTTCAGAGCCCAGACTGGGGTGCAGGGGGACGCAGGCTGGGAAGGCCAGTGCAGGCGACTGAAACAGCTTCCCCCCGCTAGTGGGGCTTCCACGGGCTCATGGCGGGATGGGGAGTCTGTGTGGAGACTCCTCCTGGGCTCCTGACCCAGGATCCCCAGCAGCCACTCCTCTTGGCATCTCTGCTTCAGACACAGAGCCCCACACCCCCTCCCCGCCCCCAGCACAGCCGCAGCCAGCCCTGCCTCTCAGCCTCTGTCCCTAAGGTCCCCAGTGTTCCAGAGAACAGCCCGACTCTGCCTTTGCTTTCGTTCCCAGGCCTCGGCATCCCCTCTTCCACCACCGTCTGGGCCCTGCCATAGAGGCCTGTTCTCCCGCTTGCTCTTCCCTATCCACTTCAACGCCCTGTCCCTGTGACTGGATTACTCTCATGACCCCAAATGCTGGCTTCCAGACCCCCCATCCCCCTAGGAGGCCCCAAGATGTATGATCCCCTCTCTGGCTGATTCTGTGACTGCTTACTCACCAGGCCATCCCCCCAACTAACAGCTGTAGCTTCCTCCCTGCAGCACCCAAAGGGACTAGAAACTAAGTCAGGGAGCCAGAGAGATATTTATGAGTCTGCTGGTGCTCCCCTTAACCAAGAAAGTGGGGTCGCCTTTCAGCGCCATTCGCTGGAGCCAAGCTCTACCCCAGGCCCCAGTGGGGTGTTTCCTGAAGTATCCTCACTTGATTCCATTCTTACCCAATGTTTTTACCAATAGAGATGAGGAAAGCCCCCACTAAGATAGGAGAGACCCCCAAATAAAAACATTTCTCATGAGGGGGACCCCTAGAATGATCAGTAGCATGGAGGACTCTGGGAAAACTCCAGGAGGACCCTCGTGACCAGCAGTGATCCCTAAATGACCAATAGGGAGGGGGCAGGGAGGATGGGGTGGGTGGGGTGGGATGAGGGCAATACCTATTTAAGGACAACCAAGCAGAGCCAAGGATAAAGCACAGAGCTTTCTGGAGGCAGGAGTTGACCTGGCCAACATTCCTGGGAGCGAGATTTTCAGGGGGTGAGGGGGTTCTTCATCTCAAGGCCCATCACTCACGTTAATTACCGAGAAAAAGCCGATTTCTCCTCATTTCCAGACTCCAAATGACAGTCTCATTAGGCCGGTAATGTGTGGAGAAATTGTGCGTGTCTGTCTTGGAGCATGTCCTGAGCCAGAATGGGTGAAGGCACCCCCACCCGGGGTTTATCTCCACGATGCTCCCTGTGGCAGAGAGGGCGCCGATCTCAGGAGGAGATGCTGTGCCTCAGGGCTGAGGTGCACCCCACCCTGTTCCGTGGTTGCCAGTGATTCAGACAACTCAGGGAGAGTGTGGGGAAAGCCCACCACACGCAGACTCTGCCGGAGCCAGAACCGGGTCCTCCCCTCTCAGACTACTTACACAAAGACTCCAACATCTTCTTTGTTTGGGGGGGGGGGGGGCGGAGAGTCACACCTGGTGATGCTCAGGGGTTACTCCTGGCTCTGCACTCAGGAACTACTCCTGGCAGTGCACATGTGAACCATATGGGATGCTGGGGATCGAACCCAGGTCCCTACCCACTGTGCTATCACTCCGGTCCCAGACACCAACATCTTTGTCTCCTCTGCCAAAACCCTTCCCAGTCTTGCCCGGACCCTTTGCTCTGAGCCTACCTCTGGACCCTCTGGATGCCATCTTGTGTCTGAGGTGGGCATCAATGCTTCCCACAGTCCTTTCTCCCCCACCAAACCCACTTCCTGGACCTGGACAGCCCTCAGCTAACAGCCAGGCTCTGACACATCCTTCACATCTCCACATGAGCTTCACACCCTTCCTCAGTTCCGACCCACTCAACAGATAAGAAGACTAAGGCCTGGAGAGGGGAAGTGATTTGCCCTGGTCCAGGGCCCAGCTCTGCACTGCACCCTAGGCCCACTCAACATCAAAGCTCAAACTGAAGCCCTCGGCTCTCTGCAGGCCCTCCCCAGACCAGAGCCTCAAAGGGAATCGGACCCGAGCAGCAGGCTGTGCCCTGGAGAACTGAGGCGGGTGAAGGAGGAGCAGGATGTAAAAAATATAATTATAGTTCAACTGTGATCTGTGCATGACACAAAAGAGGAAATACAAAAGGTTTATCCTCACCTGTAATCAAAGACATGCAAATGAAAACAACAACGCGATGTGGTTTTACCTGCTGAAATGAAGACAGTTGTTTTTTCTAAGCTGTTGATGAGAACTGAAATTAGGGGCCTCTTAGGGTCTGTGGATACAATTGAACAGCTTTTCAGGAAGGCTATTGGGCCATGTTGTCGACAGAGAGACCCCTTGGACCTGCTAATCTGCTTTTAGGAACTCCTTTCAAGAAATAACCAGAAATGTTACACGACAACCACGAGTATGGAGGTTTATTGCTGTTATTTATAACTGTGAAAAATCACAACCAACATAAATGTCTAGCAATAGAGGGTTGGTTAAATAAATTATGATATGGTCATATATAATATTATGAAACCATTAAAAGTCATATTCTTGAAGAATTTTTAATAACTGGGGGAAGTGCTCACTAGATAATGTAAAATGAAACAAAGCACGAATAAAATATACATAGAAGATATCCTTTAATATTATTCAGCAAATTATTTAAAGAAAATCTGGAAGGCAATCAACCAAGAGTTAATCTGAGGGAATTGTGAGTGATTTTCTTAATCTCAACATTCCTCTATTTCGGCTGGCTCTCCCAGCCCGTGTGCTCCTGGGAACACGCATCTCGCTGGTCATTGCTTGCCTGTTTCCACTCTGGAGAAGTTCGCGTTCTCTCGAACACAGTTCCCCTTTTCCTCTCCTCTCACACCTTTCTGAGCAAGTTTCATTCAGTAAAACTACCCACTTTACCAAAATTCATTCTCTATTTCTTTCTTAAATCTTCTACAAATCTGGGGGGAGTGCAAGTTATTGCCATGAACGTGGGGGGTGGGGGTGGGGAGAGACAGCCAGGGTAGCCTGAGCACTATGGGGCACTCAGGGAAGGCTTCCTGGTAGAGGTGATGCCTACGCTGCCTCAGAGTCTGGGTAAGCTTTATTCAATGGAGAAGGACTGGTTCTAGTCTAGGAAACAGTACATGCAAAAGCCAGAGGCCAGAGAGTTCCTGATCTCTTCTGGAAGTAGTTGGTTTAGTGGATGGAGCAAAAAATAAAGGCAGGCAGTGAGCAGAGACCAGAGCAGGGGAAGGCTGAGGAGCTGGTGCGGTTTCCCTTTCAAGCACTGATGATCTGAAGCATTGAGGACCCTAAGAGGGTATAATAGGATCCACGGGGTGCTAAGGAGAGATAGTGGTGGCTTTAGAGAGAGAGAGATGGAGAAGGGACGGGGCATGGCAGTAGGCTGAGGCAGGGTGGGGTGTGGGAGGCTGCCGAGTCGCCTGGGTAGAGAAAGGCTCGGCCTGGCTCTCGGTGGTAGCAGGGAAGCGAGGCGGGGCCACCGGAGCCGCGATTACCAGGAGATCTGACAGGACTCAATGATTCATGGGTGAGGGGAGGCGTGGGGGGAGGGGGGAGGCTCTGACAGTGACTAGCAGCAAACGCAGTGCAGGCCCACATACACACATGTCAGCACGAACACATGCACTCACACGCACTGATGCATACACGTGCACACACGCACTGACACACATGGACACACATCACACCGATATATGCACATACATGCACACACACTGACACACTCACAGACACACATGCATACACATGCACTGACACACAGGCACATGCACACACGCTGGGACTCAGTGCACTGATTCACCCATCATGTCCTTCCCCAGTGCCCCGGTGGGGCAGGTTTGAGATTTAGTTGCTCTCTCGCTACAGACCCCAGAAGATGCTGACCTTAGCCCCTCAACAATCTGACCTCTGGCTCACCCTGGGAACTCCGTGCCTTGTACCCCCAGGAAGAACAGTGGGCACCTCTGTGGGACAGGGTCAGCAGAGAAAGACCAGAGCTTGGTTTTCTCCAATGACCTAGACACACTTGTGTCACATGCATGGACTCAGATCCAGTTCTCCTGGAAGGGCACGGGCCGTACAGGGACAGCCCAGCCCTGGCACAGTCACATCCCCACCGTCAGACCTCACACTTGGGTCACTGGGCTCTGCTGGGCCCCCAAGCTTCTCTGGTTGCCCCACCCCTGGGCCACCCATCCTCCCTCCCCCGGAGACCAGCAGAAGGGCCAGCAAAGAGGACTGGCACAGGGACCAACAGCCAAACGGGGCAGCCGGGAGAGAGGCCTCTGAGAAGGGGTTGCCAAGGCAACAGGCTCCTGCAGAACCAACCGGGGGCTGAGATTCTCGACTCTTATTTTTAGAAGTTGGACCTGGGCTGCATGGGCTGGCCAGCGGGCCCGGCTCCCCGGGGCAGTGCCCAAGGGCACAGATGCCAACTTAACCTCCCAGAGAGCTCTGGGAGACACTGCCCCAGCCCAGGCTCCTTCCACATGCCCAGCTCCATCCCCAGGGTCTGGTCTGGGTAGGATCTTTTTACCCCCTTTGTTTTGGGTCTTTTGGCACCTCCTGGTTCCATGTTTGGGGGGGGGTCACTCCCAGTGGTGGCCGCAGGACCATGCAGTACTAGAGATGGAGCCCATGGCTCTTGCGTGCAAACCTGCACTCTGCCCGTAGAGCTCTCTCTCTGGCAGAACCTTCTAGTTAGTCCCTCTGGTCTTCACACAGACTTGGGGTCCTTCATTCAGCAGTCTCTCCCACCCCGCCCCTCCCCGGCCTGCTCTCCTCCACAACTCTTGATGTCTTTCACTTACTTTATAGCATGTCAAGGCCAGAGCAATAGTACAGTGGGTAGGGCATTTGCCTTGTACACAGTGACCCAGGTTCAATCCCAGCACCACCCTGAGCTTGCCAGGAATGAGCCCTGAATGCACAGTCAGAAGTAAGCCCTGAGCACTGCAGGGTAGGGCCCCAAACAAAAAAGAAGAAAAGCAAAAATTTATAGTGTGTCAGTGGAAGAGGGGGGTGGGGTGCTGGGCTGGATTTATGTGTCTGTGTCTTAATGAATGTCTAAATACATGCATCTCACCTTCAACCTTGTCCTTGTATAAATTCCCTCGTTATAGGGGTAAAACAAAGCTCCCCCTCTCTCCAAGCCCTACTCATCACTCCCACCCCTGCCTGGATCTCCTGAAAAGAGGGGCAAGGGAGCCTTGCGAGAGACTTCAGAAGGCTTAGAGTGCACGCTTTGCATGTGGGAGGCTTGGGTTCAATTCCTAGCACCTGCACAGGTGCCCCAAACGGAAGTGACCCATGAGTATTGAAGTGGGAGTAGCCCCTGAGCACTGCCCCGTCTGGCCCCAAGACCCCTCAAAAAAGAAAAGGAAAAGTGGAAGGAGGGCAGAGATCTCAAGTTGGGAGGGTAAGAAAGGGCTATGCTGTCTCTTGGGTCACACCTGGCGATGCTCAGGGATTACTCCTGGCTCTGCACTCAGGAATCACCCCTGGCAGTGCTCAGGGGACCATATGGGATGCTGGGAATTGAACCTGGGTCGGCCGTGTGCAAGGCAAACGCCCTACCCGCTGTGCTATTGCTCCAGTCCCTATGCTGTCCTCATCTTGCACAAAGTCACCCTCATATCTCAGCAGACAGAATGTGGGGGACAGGAGAGTGGAGTGGCAAGGGGGAGGGACCAGGCAGGGCCAGGTGTGCAGAGACTGGGGGACGGGATTTTGGGGAAGCAAGCGTAAGGGAGCTGACTCCTCCAGCTGCTGGGGATTTCTCTGTTAATCTGGGGTTGCTCCGTTTGCATCTCATTTGCCTATATTTGCATAACAAGGGCCTGGCTGGCACTGAGACCAAAATTTCAGGGCCCGGGTAATTGTGTAGAAAAGTCTCTGGAGACCAAGCAGGAATCCTGGGGCCTGGGAAACAGAGCAAGGGGCTGGCTGTGTTGACATTGTTGGTCCCCCTTTAATTGCAGGAGCCTCCACTTTTCCCTAATCCCTGGTGGAGGATGGTTGGGGAAAGGGTGGGAGGGGCTGCACCACTGAGAATCAAGTCAGCCCTGGGAACTGAATTTAGGAAGGAGTGAGTGGAGGGAGAGGAGTGGTGTGTGTGTGTGTGTGTGTGTGTGTGTGTGTGTGTGTGTGTGTGTACTGTTGCTAGAGTTCCAGAGCTGCTCTGCATGCAGGAGACCCTGTGTTCAATTCCTGAAATAAAAAACTTTATTTTATAAAATAAAGCCAGAGTGTCTGGAGGCCTAGACAGGACCTGCCACTTCCTGGCTTCAGTGCCCTCCCAATGGGGCTTTACTCTCCCATACCCCCATAACCCCCTCCAATCTCCCCCAGGACTTAGCTTCTTAAACTGTAGCTCAAAACCCCAAAACTGAATGTGGGGGTTGCAAATAACCTTAAATATTTGTTTTAAGAGGCTGGAAAGGGGCTAGAGAGATAGTACAGTGAGTGGGGGGTTTGCCTTGCATGCTGCTGTCGCAGGTTCGATGCCCAGCCTCACGTATGGTCCCCTGAGCACCAACAGGAATGATTCCTGAGTGCAGGGCCAGGAGTACACCCTGAGCATCACTGGGTGTGATACCTCAAAAAGTAGTTTAGGGGGGCTGGAGCAATAGCACAGCGGGTAGGGTGTTTGCCTTGCACGCAGCCGACCCGGGTTTGATTCCCAGAATCCCATATGGTCCCCCAAGAACTGCCAGGAGTAATTCCTGAGTGTAGAGCCAGAAGTAACCCCTGAGCATCGCTGGGTGTGACCCAAAAAGCAAAAAAAAAGTAGTATAGGGATTAAGGTGCATGTCTTGAATATAAGTGACCCTTGTTATATCCTGCTCCCCTGAGCACTATCAGAGGGACCCAAATAATTCTGACACCACAAACCATACTCTCAGGCCCCTGCATTGGACTACCGGCCTGATTAGCTGAGAATTGCTGTGGATCCCTTTGCAAAACCTCCCCAGAATTGTTTTAAAGTAAATTTCTTAAAAACTAAAATATTTATCTTTGAAAATTTCTTTGTATATATTTTATGGT